AAGAAACTGCTGCATCTGGGACAAAATTACCAAAGAATTTGATTCCGCTTCCCCTGTAACAAGCTACTGGTCGAAGGAGTACTTGAAAAGGGGTCTAAGGTTCTAGCCAAAGTCTATGTTCTAGTGACCTTAGGTCCCAACTTTTATTCTATGGAATGATTTCGCAGGCATTTCACTTATATACGATATGAAAAGGTTTTGGTAGGTTTTAGTTACAAACACGCATAATTTAAAATTCAAGAAAGTGTTATTTAAAAAATGTTTTCCGTTTTTTTTGGTGGATGTACGTTCCCGAGGATCTTCTCTTCGAGATTTGGCGAGCGGAGCGAGCAATCGGAGACTCAAAAATAATTGAAAACAAAAAGGTGTTATATTTGCAAAAGGTTTTTCTCGTTTTTGGTGGATTTACATTTCCGAGAATCTTCTCTTTGAGGTTTGGCGAACGGGGCGAGGAATCCGAGTCTCAAAAATAATTTAAATTTCAAGATCCCATAATTTATTGGAGCTTGTAGGTAGGTACTTGTGTTCGTACCAACCGTTAAAGGTTATTGGTCGTCATTCAAGGAATACCTCAGGTACTTTAAGGAGGTTAGGAGTAATGCAGTCTCCCTTCCTTGTGGTTTCAAATTTATGGAATACCTGCCAAAGCAAAGGCATATCTCTGGGAAATTCATCTTTGATACACAGCTAATAGCGACCGATAGTAGAGTAGGTAGGGAATTTTCGTAGTTGATTTTCGAAAGGTGTCAAATTATCATTGACCCGCAAATCGTCAATTTTGAATCTAATTTTCCGATGGAAAATATGCATTTTGCGCATTTATATTTTATTTATAGCTTAAACGTTTCTATTTGATTTGAATCTTTCTCGAAAAAAAATAAATAAAAATGCCGTTTTTATTTGGACCTATGCCTAAGTCATTAGACTCAAAAATCGTTAATTGTGATTTTAAACCACCGAAATTGGGGGTTTATTTTAACAGTAGTTTAGAGGTACTTAAAAAAGGATTAACTTGCGGTGCAAGTCAGTTACGAAAAATAAACGTTTGTTAAAATTTAAACCTCTGTTTAACTTACGGTGCAAGTGGGCATAAAGGACTTAAACATGGATGCTGCATATTATCAACATTTTTGAAAAAAAAAATTGAAACAAGCGCTGAAGAAGAAGGGAAATAAATGCTTATACATGAGGATAGCGCTCAATGGATACAATCTATACAGGGTGATTTACATAGCCTATACATCAGCTTGCAGGTGGATTAGATAATAATATTACTAATCCACCTGCGTACTGAAATGCTTCTAATGCACGAGCTATGTAAATGCAGGCTGTATACTTTAAGTTTTTCTGATGACCAAGTAAGTATTGATTGCCCATGATTATGATCACCTAGACTACATGACGCATCAATTGATAGAGGAATAAGAGAAATGGGATCTGAAAGTAAATCTGACGAAAACAGAATATATTACCATAAGCGAACAACGAAACCTGTTGCGTTTGTGTTTTTTTTTTAATTATTTACCTAACATTATAATCTTTTTTTTTTATTTGGCAACGCCTCTTTGTTTTGGCAACATTGCTACCGACGGTTTCATGCCGATGGCTCCAAGAGCCAAGAAATCTTTAATCTATTCTGTTCTACCTTTGAGTACCGTCGAGATGTAAGCGAAATATCTCCGGTCTGCATTTTTGACTTTTGTTAACGACACAAAAAATAAAATAAAAGTTATATTAGTGAAATAATTGTGCTTTACTACGAATCAGTAAATTCTCAAGTGGCACGTCGAGTAAAGTAAATCCGAGACCCCACAAGACGCAACAAAACCTGAAACTGAATAACGGATAAGAAATAAAACAATGCACTGAAAACACATACTGAGCAATGAAAATCTCGCATAAGAGAACCCTGGAAGAGGCAATATCCCTACTAAATGGAGTACATAGAGGATGATTTACGTAGCCCGTGCATTAGCTTGTAGGTGGATTAAATGATATTTCTACTAATCCACCTGCAAACTGGACAACTTCTAATGCACGGGCAACGTGAATCACGGTGTATACAACACTATCGTCGAAAGCATAGTTAAATCTATCTAGTTCAGAGGTCTGGCCACTAAGCGACAGAACCCTAAAAATGCTGGAAGCAACTAAAATGGACTTTTGAAGGAGAGCGACAGGCAGATCAAAAAGTCTGGTAACTTGTTTCTTGTTTTTTCTGTTTGTAGACGGTGATAATGTTCAATAAATATAAAAGAAAAACTGTGTTCACGAAAAAGTAAAGTAAGTTTTGCTCAATTTTCGTTTATGTTGGTACTAACAGCAAAAGACCAACCAAATAGAGCCCTGCAGTTTATTGCACATCCGCAGCATCTAAGTGCAAGTTTTACACCATGTGAAACGCCCCATGATCCACTGCATCCTGACGTAATAAACCTCTTTTTTTTTCAGAACATAAATCATTGTCTTTTAATATAATTTCCAGAAAAAATCTAGTAATTGATGCTAGGCCATTCGAAAAGATTTCTTTCTGGCAAATAAAACAAAGTCCTAATAAAATATAATGTACCCATTCAATTCGTCTTTGTCTCAAAAAGAGCTTTATAATAGAAAATTACTGGGGGCCTGTTCTGGGCTTTATTCATTCGAAATTCGTTTTTGGATTAGAGAATTATTAGGAAATGGGTTCAATTTATTTGCCACTTTATTTTCAAGGATTTATGAAGATTGTTAATGAATCAGAGAAATATAATTGCATTACACCGCGGTTTCAAATACATTTTTAGCAATTTATCTTTCCATATAAAGGATACCTTATTATTTTTGTCAGAGCTCAATAAAATAATAACTGCAAAATTACACTGTTGGAGTCATTTTACAGTTCTTTTTTTAGAGTTTTCACGAGCCAGACTTGAGACTGGAATGCCTAATAACTTTTCCCCAACAAAATAAATCGCAAAACAAGAGAAGCATATTTAATACCCAAGAAAACCACAGGAAAAGGCGAATTGTAAAAGTTTCGCTTTTGGAAAATTACAGGGATTCGTTTTACAACTTTTTATACTTGATTTGCGTTCTTCAGGCCGGGCTAGCTATTAAAACATTTTCGAAATTATTCTCTGGGAAAAATTCGTTGCGAATTGCTTTAAATTACTTCGCATTTCATTTCGTTTATCTTATTTTATTTAAAATTAACAAAATACAATGTTGCTCGTTCAAATCTATAAATCCTAGTTGAAATGGCTGAGAACTAATCCGAGCTAAAAATTTTGTTCGCCGACAAAAATGTTTAACGATAAAATATCGGTATTAGAAAATAAAGAGAGAATCAAGATGTAACTCGGAGCACGTTTCTGGGTTTAAAAAGTATAATTTAAAGAATCTTACCAGGGTATATTTGAAAAATGTTTCAACTGAATTCTTATGATTTTCTTTTATGTATTGAATTATTGCAAATGCTGTGGGGATCCAGACATTCCAGATAACAGTTTTGCTTATAATAAAAATATCACTTCTATCTCCACCTCTACCGTCAAAGCATTAATTACCATTTCCAATTAATATTCAACAAAAATATTTTGAACTTCTGCATGCTGGACCAGAACATCTTTTTGCATCAATCGAATAAACATTTTGACTTCTTTCGGGCAGAAACATCGTAAGTCGGTATCTGCCGATAGCGTAATCAAATCCAAAAATAGAACCATAGGAAATTGCAATAAACATTCAACAATTGATTTAGATTATTTAAATTTGGAATATAGGTAAATGACAAATCTTACTTTTAACAAAATGTATGTAAAACAAAATATCACAAAATCAAAAAACTTTAATGTCTATTATAAAAAAAATATAACAACAGCTATGCACCGTGTCAAAATATCTTATATTAACAAGAAAATTCATTGTACCAGGAAAAAGAATAATGGATGCACTCCTGTTTCGATACTTCCCAATTCGAAAATATCTTCGGGTAAAATGGAAAGACCCCAAACACAAAGAGAATAACAAGAAATCGAGATATTGTGAAAGTTTCGTATAGTCCTAAAAATTTTCTCTGGTGAGTATCGATTTCCGACTCGAAAAACTTTGCTCCCAACGTTATATTAATTTAAGATCGGTTTATTAGTTTTACAGTTTTGATGTTTCATAACTTTGTTTTATTGGATTTTTCGCCGACAAGACCGTTTGTATTTTATTTATTGGAAAAGTCAGTCTTCTAAAACTGAGATTAGATTATTCAATAAACGTTTTATCAAATTTCTTTTGCAAAAGTTTTCCAATACATTATTCTTCATTGATGACAAACTTACTGCCGGGAATTGAAATTTTAAATTTTTCTACTTTTCAATTTTCTGAATTAAATGATTAACCTTAAATTGACGATATATTTAATAAATTATCAAGTAGAAAACCTACACTTTGTTGAAACTTATTTGCCATCAGTATATGTTGTAGATAATAAGCAGCAATAATTGCAATGACCATTCAATAATCATACCTGATAGTTTGAGGAGGAATTTTTAAACCAAAAATACTAATATAAATCGCCAAAAATTACAAATACCTCCCAATGGGGTAGTATACTATGTATGAAAATCAGTAAAAAAACTGCTCGACATTATTCTATAGGCTAATGGTATGGTATGGAGATGGTATAGTGAGATACTAAATTATTTTTCAGCATAGTGTCTATAGAATTAGTCAGAGAAAAACAAACTTTAATTTAAATTTAGCGCCACAGCGGCGACCATTAATATTCAAGCCGCTGATCATCTGGCAACGCTGCTCAAAATGCCTCAAAACGAAAGCTGACTTTAATAGTTCAACGACGTGTGATATCCTGTGAATCGTGTGACATTGTCACAGTAACTTGTTTACATTGTTTGATGTAGTGGTTTGTTTGTATTGTTGTGACTTTTTTGCTGGATTTTTTATTTTTGAATTTTGGTCACTTTGGAGGCTTTAGTTTGAGACTACTCAAACATATACGTGTAGAAATGCGAACGACAACGGACCCAGAATTCGTACAGGCCGATTCATATAATCTGCCCGAAGTAACATGCGAAATGATAGATATATACTACGAAGAAATTGCTGATTACTTTATTGCTGGGGTGCGGAACGTAAAAGCTCAGAGGTAGTATCCCATGTATTGCTTTTGTATATCTACCTAATGGTTTTGGTTATTCTGTGTTAGAAGAGCTACTCGAGAATCTTTCGGAGACGTTGCTGTAGGATATGTCCAGTTGAAAAGGGATCATCCCCAGTGCATTGTAAAGCTCGTATCACGCCAGAACATAAAATTTGAAAACAAAGCTATTTGGTTAGTGTGTGCATTGATGAAGAATGCCATAAAGTAATTGATGTGAAATGTAATGACTGCGAAGCGAGTGAAGGTAGGTAACTTATAAGCAAACCATTCTTGAAAGTCAAGTAAACCATGATTGTTAGGGGGCTGCAAGCATGGAATAGCGCTGATTTTTTGGTTATTGAGGAGACATTTACATCCGTTAGTAACCTCAGCCGTCTGTTATACTGGAAGAAGTCATCGTTGGCAAAGCTGGGGGATTTGAAGCCAACAACAACTGTCAATATTTTTAAATATAAACGTCCGCCATTATAGTCCAGGATTATTAGGAGTGAAACACAAAATTTTTCATAACCAGCTAAAAATTGGTATACATGTTCGATTTATTGTCTGAAATAACATGCTAAAACTCCCCGCGCTTCCCTCGCTTGCTTCATGAGATATTGGCTCCCCAATCCCTTGCCCATTCAAGGGTACGCGCTGCTTTCTGGGTAAGCGTCTCAGCCGGCCTATAGTCAGTGACAGTACTGACTACTGACAATCTCTACCGTCATGAAAGCGAACCAAAATGCGTGCACATACATAACAACAGAAAAGTAGGTATATCAAAACGCAAATTATTCTCGAAGAAATAGTTATTAATTTCAATTTGCAAGGTTCATAGCTCAATTTCATTTAGCAATGTAGGCAATTATTGACATAATATTTATTCTCCCATGTTTTATAAAGCTCTATCAGAGAATCAGAGAAATCATTTAAGATACATTTCACAAACAAAAAGTTTGTGATAATGAAGTCGGAACAAATTCAGTAGATATAGAGCTGAATTGAGTGATCCAAGACTTGATGATTGTCTATATAGTATCAACTATAGTTTTCCATAGCTGGTCATATGGTAGTTTATCCAATTTTTCCCAATTTTACGCCTCATGTCCTCTAGTCCTTTCTTCTCAGAGCCTCTGGCCATGTTACTTTTTGTGATTCCTGTCGTAGACCAATCTTGTCTACCTTCCATTATTCATTCGAGCCACATGATAAGATATTCTTTCAACAGCATTGGTGTTTTTTTCCAATCTCCTCGTTCGCGAGCCTATCGCTCGAAGAGCATCTGCTCCTCTATCAAAATAGAGTAGGTATATTATTCCTAACCAATAGCAGTGGTCTACCTTGATATTTATATAAGTTGATGAATACGTAAGAATTTTTTTTCCAGAAAATCACATTAGGTATAGTTTCCATTTTATTGATTGCAAAGAAGTGTTTCCTGAACTTGAGACATAATCTATGTGTTGATTAAATGTTAAATGAGAGTGTTTCATAAAAGTTAAATCCCAAGAATCTTATCATGATGTCAGAAACGATATTGAAAATACAAAAAGTCAGAACCCAACGTGGACCACTATGCAGAGGTGGTGATCACTATTTTCTGAAGGCCAGAATCCTGGTTCCTTGTCAGAGACAAAGCCGGTATGTATCAGCATACAAGGAAGAGACAAGAGAAGTTATTGACCAAATACAGGAATAAATACAATTTCATCATCATAGGCGATCACTCGATAACGAGTATATCTTCTTTTCTATTCTTATTGTCGTCGATTGTGCGTTTTCTGATGGAGATATAAACCAATTCTGTAGCCACACACTCTTCCACAGTCATGGCACATCCAGCCTCTGTTCCCTCGCTCCTTCCCACGGTATCTCTTTTCGGTCTCGTGTCTGCGTCGCTGTGCTTCAAAGGTGTGTCGTCTCTTAGTTGCTGGTATCGATGCGGCACTCTGCCAAATTTTCCTTATGAACATCTTTATAGCGTTTTTGTTGACCTCCTTGAATTCGTTTTCCCTTTTTCTGTAAAGTCGTGGAAGTTTCGGGCATGCGGACGAATGAATGAATGAATTGATTTCGCTTCATTCAATAAAATGTTTATTTAATAATAATGCAGATTTTTTATTCTCTACATTTAATTTTTTCCGTATCTTTCACATTTGGATTGGTAGCCCTAGGGTCTAGTCTAGAGGTTCGAAGTCCAAATCCCTACTCGCTAGCACTGCTGATATAAATGTAAGACACGCAGAAACGGTAAAGAAGGGACATCAAAATGTACAGAATAAAAAATCTATTTGAAATTATGTCTACACCCGCGCGCGCTGCTCACTAGAACGAATTACAACCACTGAAAATATAGGGTACGGTTCACTGACGACTGAACGGAAGACTACGATTTCGGCGGTTGTGACGTCACAAGCTCCTGCATAATTTATCTTTACAAGAAATTTTCTCGGAGACTATTTTGAATATAGGACTGCGGTTTTCACGAGAGATCTAAGATTTTTTTTTCTTGATTTAAGCAGTTTAAGTCGTTTTTTAGGGTCACAACCCCTTTAAAAGAATTAGTGTGGCGGTTTTAAGGTAGGGGGGCTTAAGAGGTGAATAATTTTTCGTGAAAAACATTCACACTCAACAAATTAGTTGTCATGCTTCGACGAATTTCACAAATCTACCTATTTACGTTGAATAGCAGTAAAATTCAAAATAAACACCTTGTATAATTCAATATCTCATGATGCAAGCGGGGGAGGTGTGGGGAGTTTTACATGACGACTCAAGATCACACCTAGAATAAGTGTACCAAATTTCAGCTGTTTGCAAAACTAAACTCTTAGTTACTACTTAACATTTATTTAATAAAAGTCTAAGTTTAGTCAATATTATTTTATCATTACACCCTGTAGATTACTTATGGCAGAACATATTATCAATAGTAATATAACTAGTGCAATGGAAATTATTGATAATTTTTGGGAAATTTGCCCGAATGCATTTTTCAGTTAAAAACGCATGAGTGCAAATTTGTCGAAAATTATAAATATATTTCCATTGCACGAGTTGTATTTAATGAGAGAATTTCATAAATCAAAAATTTAAATTTTTTGTCAAAAAATGTCAAAACACCAGTTTTCGCACCAGTTAGTATGCAATTATCTGATAATTTGCACTAGTGCAAATTATCGCGTAATTACAATCTGATTGGTTCAAATCAACAATCAAAACATGTCAATTTATTGTTGGAATACCAGTTTTGACAGATGTATGAAATTCTCATAATGTAATCTAAATGAACTACTTATGGAAGTGGCGTACATGCATGAGGGGTCAACATAGGAAATTCGCGCAGATGACGGATAACACGCTCAATATGTATTCGTATTGCTGCGAGGAGTTTCGAATCTCTAACCTCTGCTTTTGAAGATTTTTTTGATAGCGTTACGCTGTGCGGGCGTAACAATTTGCATTGCTTTTCCTCCAGTACGGCGGCAACCTCTTTGAATCCTCTATCGGCTAGAACTTCACAGTGTGGTGGTAGCTAAGACAAGTAGCCAGAGTGGAGAATTATTTCCTTGTCCGATGTACGTCCCCCAAATCCATGGGATACAAAATTTATTAGACCACTTGGTGTTGAGGAAATTAGGTATTTCACTGTATTTCCGCTTTTATCGCTCCATGTTAGAGCTTGCGCTAAGGCGTTTGACGGTTTCGCTATTTGAATTTCAAAGCAGCCGATGATTGATTGCACATTTCTGTAGGTCCCCCAAAACTGTATTATTGGCAAAGTTTCCTTTATTTTTTGCGCTGATGGCCATGGTATTAATTCCTGCAGGTAACCAGCTAGTAAAGGCAAACATTTAGCAAATATTTTTGCAGGATAGCTGTCGCTATATCCAAACTCAATGGCCAGTCGTGTAAATGTATCGTTTGTACGTATTTTCTTCAACGTTAGCAGAATATCCTCTTCTGTTAGTCCGGTTTCAATACTCAATAATTTAATTATACCAAAACTGTCTCGAGGAATGCCCGTATATAGACGTGGGTACCTTTCCATTTCAGCCACCATGTACGCAATATTTCGTACTCTGGGTACTGAGAGAGCATCACTACTTGATGAGGATTGATTGCTTGAAGAAGTGGCGCTTGATGGAGGTTGGCTCTGTATGTCTGAGTTCACTGATTTTTCACCACCACTTAGCTGCAAACTGACATTAACTTCGTGTGTTCTTCCTGCTCTTGTGTTTGTACTTTTTGTCGCTGTGTCAGGTTTTACTTGTGCTACCACATGGCGTACATTTTGTTGTGTTTGAGTACTTTCTGTTTTCTTCGTCCAACTCCCTTCTTCTACAGTACAAAATGAAATTTGAAACTTTCCTGCCGTTGACTTCACTTCAGTATTATCTTTTGCATCACGCTCTTCTTGCATGGAGGGGCTAATATTTAAACTTTCAGATTTTGTTACAAATAGGGACCGTTTAGCTTTTGCAAAATTTTCTAATAACGCAGAACATTCCATCTTCCGTTTGCGCAACAGTGGCGTTAATTGTGACGATTTTGCTGGCGTCTCTTCCATACTGGTGATGTGGCACAACTCCTGGTTTCAAGTTCAAATTTTGGCCCATATGCTTGAAATACATCCAATTTTCGGCATCATTTTTCAGCTAAAAAATATTGAATCAATATATTCATATACATAGATGACCACTGTATCAAGCACATAACCTCACATCAAAATGGTCCTCGCAGTAGTACAACACAGATTTTGGAAAAACAGTGTTTCCATGGCTGGACATTACCCATTTCTTCCTCGTCTCGTAGTCTTTTGGGACGGTCAAAAATATTTTATTTGGCGCATTAACCGATGAATTTCTACAACCGGGAAAATAACAGTTTTTACGACCACTCATCGCTTGCCGTTTTTCTATTTTAAATTTAAAAAAATTAAATTTGACGTTTCGTTCTTGACGGTCAATGTCAGTGCAAATTGTGCGTTCTCAAAACTGTGATGTGTTGCCAGATTGGAAAAACTACCTACGTCACGAACTTTTATTTTCACGTACGAGCGGGGCTAAGAGGAAATTTAAAAAAAGAAAATCCAGTGTATTGCGGTTTCAACAAAGCAACTGATTACACTAAATAGTATGATACGTCGAGTATATCACTACGCAATAGTTAAAAATCACTTGCATACTACCCCATTGAACCTATACTATTACATTTATTTTAGGGCCTCAAAATAAACCAAAATATCGGAAGTTTTCTAATTCTATGAAAAATTATCAATTTATCGAGAAGGTTGGAATATTTTGTACAATTAACTAGAATAATTTAATTTATAAGTTCTAACTAAAAATCCACAACTTCAGGTAGTTAGGTACAGGGTATTTGATTATATTTAAGCCCATACCTACAGCCTTTACTATTTAGGATAGAAAAAAAATTCAAATAAAAAATTTGACAGTTTTTTTCTATATTTTCTTTTAACTCTATCA